GATAACATACAAGTACATGATAAACTGTTGATACTTGATAAGTTGCAGTTGCTCAATAAGGTAAACTAGTACTTGTTATTCGAATCTTTATGCAGTGATACTTGTTCTAATGAGTTGTTTATTTTATTTCTTTTGCGCCCTAAATTCATGAAAGAAATGTCGAATAGAAGTGAGTTATTGGAAAAGCTAAGGAACATAAGTGAAGAGTGCTCCGATATTATTCTTTCACAATGCAGTCATTTTGACTGCTTTGGGGCAATATAGGTATATACTAAATTTCGGTCTTTCTAGTGTTAAAAAATTAAAAGACCAGGCCTTTTGGGAGCAGGATGTTCAGGAGGAGCCTCCTGGGAAAGTAAAGTTTGGGTTAGGCCCAGAAGCAACGCGAGGAAAAGTCAGGGACTCCCCTTAGCAGAGGGAATGGTGTGAACATGCTGCAGAGTCTCCTGTAAAGAACGGCCAGAGACCTGCATGGCAGGGACAGAGATTGCTGGTGGTGGGCGGAGGGGCGCTGAGGCGGGTGTAGTGGTCTCAGACCAGAGGTGGGACAGGAGGTGATCTGGGGTCCTACCCACTGAGCTTAGGAGCTGGATGGAAGGGAACATGTTTCTCCCAGCACGGGGGCCTCTGCGAAGGCTGCAGGGGTGCGGATGCGTACATGAGAAGCACTGCTTTGGGAAGGTGTGGATGAATTAATGAGGAAAGGGGCGGATGCAGAGGTTTGGGGTCCCTGCTGTATCAGTGCTGTTCTGGAGACTGCAGGAACAGAGGGGGAAATCAGGCCTTCCCTCCTGCCCTCCAGGGATCCGAGAAGGAAACCTTGCATTTCTCTTGTAATTCAGGGTTGGACACAGCTTTCACTTATTTTTATTAGCTCCTTGATGTTTGAAAGAATTCTTGAGATCAGAAGGACAGTATCATTAGCTCCTTCCCAGGGAGAGAAACGGGGGTTCAGGAAGCCCAGGGCTGCTCCTAAGTGGCAGTTAGCAAGAGAAACCAGACTTCAACTCACAGTGCCGCCCAGGCTGACCTGTAGTCTTGTTGGGGAAACAAAGCAAAGGCTGTGAGAATAAATAAATATTCCCAAATAGCGTGTGATGCAAATGTGTGACAGCCAAAGACAGGCCTCAAATTATTATCGACAAACACGTCAATTAGTGCCGGGTTACACTCTGCCAATCACACCAAGTGTTGAAAGTGCATTTTCGTTGGATCTTTCTATTGCTGAACTCTGTCCTGCCAAGCAAAAGAGTCAGAAGAGAGAGTATGTGCCTAAATGTTGAACCTGGATCTTAAATTATACTTGGGCTCAAATCCTACCTCCATCTTTGCCAAATGGCCTTGGACTCCACTTCTTGGTGCTTCAGGCCCTTCGCCTATTACATGAGGACCCCCACACCCAGCTCACGAAGGACTGCCATGCTGCAATTCTGCAATAACGTAACGCATAGCTGGCTCACGTGGGAGGGGGCGCTCAATACATAAAAGAGAGTTATCATTTTTTATTGCAAAAGGGAATTCGCATCCTTTGGGCACAAACAATGTTGCAATACTTTCGTATATCCTTAATCCTCACAACAAGATAGGTCCCATTACCCCCTTTTTAAAGATGAGGAAATTGAGGCCCAGGGAAATTAGCTCGCCCAAAGTCCCACAGCCAGGATGTAAGATAATCATGTTTGGTCTGGCTCTAAAGTCCTCATTTTTTCACTCTGCCGTAAAACTGATGGTGATGGCAGAATTGGGTATAAAAGGACCCTCATCAAGGCAAAGTCTGAATTATGGGCAAGTGATCTGTTTCAGAGCTCCCGGGGGATGAGCTGGAAGCTCCGTTCCGCTTGCAGGACTCTGGTCTGGGTTCAGACTTGCTGGGCCTCACGTACAAACTCTTGGCCTCGCCTCCTCCTTCATCTCTCTCCTCCTCCTACGTAAGGATTTTTAGATCAAACTGCAGCCTCTGTCCTGGGAGATAATCCCGCAACCTTGTTTTCTGAGTGACCTTCCCAAAGAAGGGCTTCGCAGCCACGTTCTCCTCAGCCCAATCACACAGTCGTCCTTTTCCTTGAGCCCTGGCCAGACCTCAGGATGGCAAGGCAGCCGGCTGCCTGCAGACGCGTTTTATGCTGAGGAGCTGCTCGGAATAAATTAGCCAGTGCTCAGGATGTGTTAGATACGCTACTTCCACATCGCATTTTATTTCTGCTTCAGTCCTTTCCTTCTCAAGCGCCACCTCCCTTCCCCTTCCTGAGGGCTGGCGTCTTCACATGTGCCCATCCTGGGGGGAGGCACAGCTCTGCACAAGAGACTTTTCTCCCTTCTGCTAACAACCTATAGATTCTAAAACCCAGACATGATCAGCAAGTAAAGAACTGAAGCAAAAAGACGTTCAATCACCCAAGGGAGGCAGAAGCCTAGTGGGTCCAGAAGAATTAAAGGTAACAAGATAACAAGATAAAAGTTAACAGGAATTAGAAATAACAAGAGATGGTGGCAGCAATGGCCAACCTGCACTGGTGAGGGAGCCGAGGGTTGTGCCTGGGCACTGGTCTCTGTGAGGTGTGGGTGCGGCAGAAACTCCCGATGGATGGAATTTTTAGGGGCCCCTTGACAAGCCCCTGAGACCCCTTCTCTCAGGGGAAGCTCTGTTTGCCTTTGGACACATCACCGGACTCCTCCTGCTTCCCTGTTATTTCCAGGGACCGGAGGAGCCACTGGATGTCAAGGGGGAGAGGTACTTGGAATGGAACATTTTTTAAGGCTCTTTAAAGGCGTGTCTAGCAGAAGGGCCCCTTTTTCAAATGGAAGGTACCCGGAAGTGTTCTGTGCCGGCATTGGGTTTCTTAACATCTGATATGAAAAACCATCTTCCCCAATACCCCCCACCCCAGTGTCCCTAACACACACCCACCCCTCCTGTCCCCAGCAACTCAAACTCAGATTCTTTGGCTGTACTCACACATACTGAATCACAACTCTGGGGGTGGAGCCCAGTAATTCCCTAATCACCTGGCCTGGCCTCCACCCCCAGAGATTTTGATTCAGTAATTTTGCAGTGGGGCCTGAGAATCCGCATTTATATCAAACTCCCACCTGGCGCTGATGCTGCTGGTCCAGTGAGAAGCTCTGGTGCAGGGAGCCTCCTGGCTGCCTCCGGGGCACAGGTTTCTTCCATAAACTAAGCGGTAAACTGTGCAAGATCAATGCAGGACTGGGACAGCAGGGGAGGAGGGGAGGACAAAAAGAAGGAAAAAGAAAGCCTGGGAAGTGATGCCTAGAAAAGAGACTTGTTCTTTCTCAGCACAATTATCAAAACTTCTTTCTTGTTACTTCCATTCCCCAATTCCTGGTCCATATTAATAACCACTAATTCAGCGGTTCTCAACCTGTGGGTTGCGACCCCTTTGGGGGTTGAACGACCCTTTCACAGGGGTCACCTAAGACCATCGGAAAACACATATATAATTACATATTATTTTTGTGATTAATCACTATGCTTTAATTATGTTCAATTTGTAACAATGTAATTGGGGGTCACCTCAACATGAGGAACTGTATTAAGGGTCACGGCATTAGGAAGATTGAGAACCACTGCACTAATTAATGCTTTGTGGTTGGGAGCCACTAATAGTGTCTCCTGGGCCTTAGAAAAATGGTGGTGCAAGACCTGGCCCAACAAAAGAAGAGTACACAATCCCAGGACCCAAGGTCAAACCCCTAGGGCCACAGGATCTTCACACTGGTCTTGTCTAGATGCCTGTGGTCCCCACTTCTCAGACATCAGCATGCACCAGGATCACCCCGTTAACCCTCAGTCACTGACTCAATAGATTTGGGGTGAGGCCCCTCCTGAAAAGCTGCATTTTTAAAAATATATATATTTGTATTGACTTCAGAGAGGAAAGGAGAGAGAGAGAGAGAGAAACATCAATGATGAGAGAGAATCATTGATTGTCTGCCTCCTGCACACCCCCTATTGGGCATGGGGCCTACAACCTGGGCATGTGCTCTGACTGGGAATTGAACTGTGACCTCCTGGTTCATAGATCAACGCTCAACCACCGAGCAACACCGGACTGCAGTCGGGCTAAAAATCTGCATATTTAATAAGCCCTGTGTGATGCAGACGCTGCTTGCCCAGGGACCCCTCTCTAGAATCACTGGTGGGCACATATGAAATAATGCCAGAAGTCGCTTAGAGTCATTTAGACAGCAGCCACCCAAGGGCAATTCTGGGAAAGGTGAGTTGCTGCCAGCCCAGCAGGGCTATGAGGGCCCTCATTCTCTCTGTGATCAGCCGCCTCGGGTGTGGCAGCCAGGCATTCCGCAGACACGGCCACCGCAGCGCCAGGACAAGGCCCTTTGTGAGACTCACTCTGAAATGTTCCTGTTTCCTCCCTCAGAAAGTCACGGGAACTCTTACATCCGGAAATCTAGACCGGACTCTCTGAACGTCACATTTGTCACGGTCTTTGTTATAGAAGTCTCACCATTTTATACCATTTGCCAGAAGCCGCGATGTTCAGATGTTCAGAGTGGGCCCAGAAATGCTTGTGGACTTGACCTGACCAGTCTGCATCCTGTGGACTGGACTCAGGCTTGTTGAAGAGGTGCAGCCTGCCTCCTCTCACTGTGTCGTTTCTCTCCTCTCTCCCCCTCCCCCACCCCCAGTGCACTCCCAGAAACAGAACAGGCAGACCTGCGTGCGGAAGAGCCTCATCTGCGCCTTCGCCATGGCCTTCATCATCAGCGTCATGCTGATCGCCGCCAACCAGATCCTGCGGAGCGGCATGGAGTAGCCGCCCCGCCGCTGCGTCCCCGCTCCTGCGCATGCGCACGCCCTGCGGGCCGGCTCTTCCTCCACAAAAGCAGATCTGGACGATGCAGACGTGGCTCAGTTCGGCGAAGAACCCAAGGTTGCAGTGCAACCTCTGTTGCAAGTCCACTTCATCTCCTTGGCAGGGACACAAAAGGGCTGTCTTCAATGCTTTAATGGTTTTGTTTCCTAATGCAATAAATAGCCAGGAGTTCCGAGTGATCGCTTCAACCACCTGCAGAAACTCCGCACAGGAACTTCATTGTCATCTCGGAATTCCCATGGCCATGCGGGCCAGTGGTAAGAGAGCAAGGGAGAGGCGTGAACACGCAGTCACCTCCCCGCCCCGTCCTTTCAACCCAGGGGGGCAACTGGAGACCCCCCCAGGGCAACCCAAGGCGTGACTTCAGGGTTGCCGCAGAAGAGGGGGCTCTCCACCTGTCCCTGGCTTTCCTCCTCCACCTAGTGGAGCGCCCCCCAAGGCGTGAGGGGAAAGCTGTCGGAGGGGTGCAGGACCTGCAGCTGCTCCCATGCTTCCGTTCTTACAGCCTTTCTACAGGACTCTAGCTGGCAGAGCTGGGGAGTTCTCGGTTTCCATCTGCACTTGGCTTTCAGTTCCTAGAGCCCATCACGCACCAGCATTTTGGAATCTGCAGAGAGCCTTCCTCCCAGCTGTGCTGCTTGTGCTGCCATTAAAGAACAAAGAAGCATACTCGTGGGCATCTCTATAATCACATAGACACGTAGATAGATGTATCTATTTGGCTTCTTCATGTGTGGCATCATTCTTCCCTAGTCACTTACTCCTCATATAAGCTAATCCTCCGACACGCATCCCTGCCTCTTTTGGGTGGGAGAGGTCGTCTGGGGGACGGGGACTGAGTCTGGTGGTGAGGAGGTGTTGCAGCCCACGCCCCAGTCGTCCGCAACAATGGAGCCCGCACACGTCTCCCTGCCAGAAGACCTCTGTAAGTTAAGGTCCTCACGCATCTTACCTTTTTCTCACCTTACAGTTGGCTTGGTACGTTAGTCTTCCCCAGATAAAACGAGGAATACAATCCAGAGTGGAAAGATCAAACTGCTGTATTTTCCATAACATCTTCGGGCATTCAGATCCTGCAACTGACTCGCTTCCATGAGAGAAAAACAAAACAAAGGGATGTTAATAAGCTTAGCCAACAGGACAGGTCACTTATCCGGCCTGTGGAATCCTTTCTTCGGGGAAGGAAACGGAATGCAGTGGTCTGTTTTCAACACCATTTCAAGTCTGTGATTTCCTGACTTTTCCTACGTGTCATATCAGCCACCACTATTAATTCAAGCTTGCCTAGTCTGGTTAGCCAATACCCTTTCAATGGAACATTTCCCTTTGTACTTTTCCAAGCTCAGGTCTTTATTTCTATGATGGAATCGTCTTGCTCCTCTTGCATCCGAAAGCTTTGAGGTTCCAGAACCTTTCCTCTCTCAGTGCAGCCAGGTAGGCTTTTTGGTGGGGGGTGTGTTCCTGAACCTCTCCTCGAGCTCCCCCCTCCCCCTGCCCCTCCCTCTCCGCTTTCTCCTTACTGCCTTCTTGGACTTGGAGCATCCACGGTCTCAGCTTAGGATCTTCTTCCAATTCACCTCTGCCGGCGCTTCAGGCAACAGCCTGGGGGCAGCTGTAGGAACTCCCCCACTGTGGGAGACCGAGAATATCCATGATGAGCACAAGAAAAACTAGGGTTTGAGCCATAGTACAGAGGAGGGAGCAGGTGTAAGCTTTCAAGAGTCCAGGGGTATGAGAGTCTCTCTGGGAAAATGCCTGGGGCCCCGCACATCCAGGCCAGGAAAGCACCAGCCTGCCTGCCCACCCTGCCCTGCCACAGCACACCTGCACATCTGCCTCTCCTCTCTCCCTTTGCCTGACTCACCATGCCCCCCGCCCCATCAGAATCCTGAGCAAGAACAGGTCCAGCCGTAGCATGCTAACAGGACAGCTTCATCGTCAGCTCCTGCCCAAAGCAGTTGGCCCTCCCTGGCTGAGTTGAACTTAGGTGGGAAGGGCCCCTGAGCCACTAGACTACATTATACTGGGGCAGGGGGTGCAGGGTCCTATGTAGACTAGATGGAGACCCCAGGGACGATTCTTAAAGGACTGTGCCCCACGAGATGGGATTGCAATGCTCTAGGTGAGGCTGGACTTCTTCAAAGGCTGCTGTGCTGCAGGTTCTTCTGCCTCCCACTGGAGAACAGGGACCCTGATGATGGGAGGGTTAGCCTCTATTGGAAGACAGATTAGCCACCATGCAGGGGTGGAGATTAAAAGAGTTCCCGCAAGGCACCAACAGCCTGTTCCCTACAAAGTCCTCCTGACCTAGTGACCGGGAAGACAGCCATCCTACCCAGAGGAAATCCAGGAGAGGCATTCTTTATGGGGGTTTCTAGGGAGAGGGGACACGAAGGCATCCACAGAACTCTCTTGGATGGGCTAGAAGTTAACCTCCTCCATGGTAACCTCAGGTGTGTCCCACAGGCTGCAGGGTGTGGAGACAGCCCAGAGTAGTGGCCTTCCTGAGACTTTGGGCGCTAAGAGCTCGTCCCAGTGACTTGCACCCTGGCTCCTTTGTCTGGATGGTCTTTGTCAGGCAGCTCAGGGTGCAAATTTCCCCCAGCCCCGCCCCCCAGGCCTGTCCACACCAGTGCCCTCCAGGGCCCCATACCTGTCAGCATCTTCACCACAGGGGTTGTGATGTTCCTGGATGAAGACTCTAGAAGATCCTGGTCCCCAGGCCTTGTGGCCCCAGTGGGAGGTGACCTCTGCAGGAAACGAGAGGGAGGACATCAACTCTCCCTCTGTGCTCTTAGCTAATAGACATAGCGGCCTATTCTGAGTGACTGGCAAATTGAGTTTGGCTCATTCTTGTTGCAAGAATGGGTGCCCCCCAGGCCACACAGGGATGATCAAGGAGGCATTCTGCCTAAGAGACAAGAAATACAAACCCTGATGCCCTTGGCCCCCAGAGAAGCTGTCACCCATCACTCCAGAAGCAGACAGGGCCCCCAAATAGGACCCAGCATGGGAACTATTAGCAGTGGCTTCCAGAATGTGGATCCCATGTGACCAATCTGTAAAAAAAAACAAGGGAGGGGGGTTGCCATGGCAACCCTTGCATTCCACCCAGAGTTTGCCAAGGCACACAAAAATAGGGAACATTTTCTTAAGGAACACTTGGGTTCTGCCTGATTGCAACCTGACTCCCTGCATCCACATCCTGCTGCGGGGAAATTACCCTTCAAACATCTCCTGGTTTCTCTGCCTTTTTTCTTTTGTGCTTGAACCTGCCCTCCCATTTGCTCAGGAGAACAGGAGCTACCTGGGAGCCAGGTGGCATCCTCCCTACTCTCCCCCTCCCCCACCTCCCAGGGCCCAGAGCAAGGACCTCTCAATCTGGGGGGGAAAGTCAGAAGTGTCATCTGGAAGGTAAAGCTATTTTAAGCCTCAATCGTCCAAAGCATCTGTTTGCTGGTTAAGAAACTCTCCCATGAGCCAGAAATGTGAACTGAAGTGAATGGAGGTTGACATGTGGTCTTGGGCAAGTCCAGTGGTTTCGAAGACGCTGGGTGTTTCATTTGCAGAGAAGATGTGTCCTGCAAGTCTTCGTTCTGGATACCTGCTCCTGTCTCAGGTTTCACAGGACAAATGGTCTCCTCCAGCAATTTCCAATCTTTTTCATCCCATGGCACACATAAGCGAATTACAAAAATTCTGCGGCACACCAAAAAAATGTATTTTTTGCTGATCTGACAAAAAAATAGGTGTAATTTTAATTCATGCACACTGGACGGCTATTATGTTGGCTGTTGTCACTTTTTTATTTGACAATCTAAGGGAAAAGAGGTCAGTGCCCCTGACAGGTAGTGCATGTTTTAAAATTTTTTGCGGCGCACCCGTGTGCCTTGGCACAACGATTGAAAATTGCTGGTCTGCTCTCTATAGTTAGCCAGAAGAACCTAATGAAAGATAGCAAGCACAGTTTGACAATAATGCCCCTCCCAACCTCCCATCCACGGAATCATAAAGTGATATATCTAAGAACTGAGAGGAAGAAATTTATTTTCTTCCAAATGCCTTCTCTAGGTTTAAGTCCAGACTCAGATCATAAATCAAAGAGACGTTTGCTCTTCACCAGTAGCTAGAGCTTCCCTGGGACCATATGACGGCTTGATTAGAAGAGGACAGGTGTGACTGCACAGCTCGACCCCTTAGCTGGGCTGGCCCAACCGTGGTGGCCGATGCTGTGGCACCTGTTCTGCGGGGCCCTGGCTCTCCGGCCCTGTGGAAGCTGCTGAGCGCTGCTCCTCCCAGCTGGAGGTCTCCAATCATACTGGCTCATCTTACTGTACTATTTCTCCAAAGGCCCATAGGAATCATGTCACTCACCCTGCTCCACTGACATATAGAGAAGGTCCTGAACCCCACTGTAAAAAGGAGGTGCCCCTTCTTCTATAATGCCATGATAATGCAGATGGACTGAGCTTAAGCTTCTAGACTACGGCACATACCAGTTACATTACTAGGAGACTGCAGGGCTGCCTTCCCTGCAGAATATCTGTCTAGAATGACCGCAGGTCAGAGTGTCACGTGGCCTCTTCAGCGACCTCTCAGGGCTAAAAGTCCGTAACCTAGAGGCCTTGCCATAGCCATCCTCCCTCACCACCTCATGGCTAAATGCCCCCAATAGGGGGGGGAAAAATCCATCAGAAGTAGAAAAGAAACAGCAGCTAGGGTTTTCAATCTGAATTATTTAAAGTGATGGCAAAAGAGAGGAGGATTTGGGCTGCTCCTTACGGACCTGTCTCCACGACGATTTAAATGTCAGAACTGTTCAGCTCACTCCATCCTTCCTTTGACTAAGTCACTCAGGGGACTGTCCTCAGTTAAGTGGCCTTGCCAGAGACACTTGATTTGGAGGAATAAGGTCAAGTACACAAACCATCCACGCATTTCTCTTAGTATCCTATGCTCATTGCTATTGCACAGTCTTTTTTGCAGCTATGGTTTCTACTTTTTATTGGTTTGGGGCCCTTTTTATAGGGTCTCAAAGGACAAAAGTCTTCAAGGTGAAATTAATTGGATTCAGTTGGCTTGAAATATAGCCACAGAGAATCAGGTTGTGCCAGTCCTTCAAAACAGTTCTCTAACACTGGAGAAGACTTCTCCAGCCTCCTGCCCCTTACCCCTACCTTGGGTAGCTTGCAGAGCCCCCTGGGGATGCTGGCATAGCTCTCACCCACCTCTTTTCCGTGAGCACGATGGGCGGATGCTTCTGACATTGTGAGAAGTTATTGTCCAAGTGAAAGGATGCAGAGGCTGGAACTTCCCGGTGGAGAAGAGCAGAATAATTAGGAAGGAATACTCCAAGGAATGCAAAATCCAAGTGTGATGTTGCCTCAGGCCTGGACCTAAGAGAGAAAAAGACAGTTTTTAAGGGGCTGCAGAGGCTGGTCTCTGAATGTGTTCCTGGTCTATCGGGTCGGCTTTGGGAACCCAGGGCATTGAGTGCCATGGGGCTGCTGCCATCAGCCTGTTCCCAAGGACGTGCACTGGGAATTTCAAGAGCGGGCTGGTAGCTCGTCTCTCTGTGGGGGATGCTGACAGTGGCCAAGGCCCAAATGCCTCTCCCAGGCTCTCTGTCTGGCCTTGGTCCTGTGGAACTGAAGCCAGGAGAGCAGAGCATAGAACCAGGAGTGTGGGCAGCTCTCTCGGCTGGGAAGGGCACAGGAGGCAGGACCCCAGGTGCCCGTGCCACGGACCAGCTGGATCATTTTGAGTGACTTCCCTTCTTGGCCTCAGGTTTCTCATCTCTAAAGCAAGAGGAAAGGTAAACCAGATGACCCAGAAGAGCCCTCCCCTTGTGACTCGTTTGCCTGAAACAAGTCAAAATGAATGCCCATACTTGACAGGGCCTTATGTCCCTATGAATTACATTAGTGACTGAGTTCCTTTTTTTAACACAAGTGCTAAGAGGCCGTTTGTAATCAAGTATCCCGTGTGGTGTCCATTGCCTATATACGAAACAATGCAAATTGGCTTATAGCAAATGTGTTGCGGACAAGAGGTTTCATTTACTTCCTGGGGTCTGGCTGATTCAAGGAGCGTCAAGAATATGGCCTGGCTTAGCCAGTGTGAAAGATAAGAGGCTTTGATCACCTTACCGCAGGTTACAGGAATCAGAAAACATGCAGAAGGAGGGGAAACAAAGCCAGATTCCAGGAAAAGGTGCTTGTTTCTCCATCTGAAAGCCCAAAGAAGCTACCGAATAAAGAGCACAACTTCCGGTCATTTCTCTCTTTCCTTTTATCTCTGGCCGCCGGAATAGCAGTTCTTGTGTATGTGACTGTGGTTGGCAGTTATTTGTAACCCTGCAGAAGGGAGCTGTGTGACCTCTGGTGACTGTCAGGAATTAGGTGGACAGTCTAGGGAGACCAGCAGTCTGCGCTTGCCCATTAGCTGGTTGGTGAAGGCATCCACAGGTGCCTGCAGTAAGTGTGGCCCAAGCATGACGAGGGGGAGAGGGCAGGAGGAGAGTGGCTGCAGGAACCCCAAAGTCTCCAGCCCTTCTGCCCATGACAACATGAACTCCTAGGTTTCAGTCCTTTTCTTTTTGTTTTTATTGCTGTTCTTCCCTGGAAAGACCTAGATTGGCCAGGAAAGGGCCCTTTCAGCTCTTGGTGGAAATGTACCCAAGCCCGTGTCTCTCAGCTCTCTCCGAGGAAAATCAAAGAATATTCTTTCTTACTGACCCAGAAATCAGGTTTCGGGGGTCCTTGAATGGCTTCTTAACGGGATTTGATTTTCTTCCCCAATTCCAAATCCAGGAAGAGGCTATGTCGCCAAGGACTAACCAAAGACAATGCCCTCAGAGGGGAATCAGACCCGGAAACCTGGTCAGGGCAGAGGGTTGGCAAATGATCATCTATTGGAGGTGGGGATCACTGCAATCCAAGGGGTTGTCAGACCTGAGACATGAACGTTTTCTCAAATCACAGTAGCAAATGGCTGGATGCAAATCGGAGTGCAGCTGAGGACCGTTATAACCAGGACAGCAGGAGCCTGGCCGCTCTCGTGTCCAGACTGGGCCACGAAGACTGAAATCCTGGGTGACAATCTTCCCGTTTACCTCATTCTCGCTCCATCTTTTTTTTTTTTCCATGTAGTATCGGTTGATGATTTCTGCTATTAAGCGATGAGAGAGTCTGTAGACCAGTCAAAAGAAAATCTTTATATAAAATGTAAATATTAATATAAATTAACATGGCATGCAACTTACTGATCCAATGAAGCATATATTATTCATATGTTA